AGTCCATTCTATCTTTCAACTTTCTTAACTTCCTCACCATTTAGAAATTCTGTGACTGCACAGTCTTTTCCCTCTTTTTGTTTGTATTTAATACATATTTTTGAGGAATACAATTCAATCCAAAATCTTTGCTTATATTCTGGCCCAGGGTCTGTCATTCTGCCAAGATGATTTGCTAGGCCACAATCTTGCAAAGGGATTGGACAGTTTACTATGCAAAAAACAGGCACATAAAAACTCTTACAAGATTGGTCAACTAATATGTAAATTAAATTATTGCAGTCTACAGAGCAGATTGGTCAATTTTACCATCCTGCTAGACTTATAAGGGCTAATCCCACAGAGGTTGGAGGGGGTCCTCACTATCATCAAGAAGAGTCTGGAGTGGAACATGTCCTTTGAATCCAGGGTCCCTGCAGTAAGAACCTCCAAGATCCACAAGAGAAAGTGTTGTAATGCTGAAGACAGTTCATACTGTCAGGCAACACATGCAATGGGAACAAGGTGACTGGCTTTCTGGCCCATGAAGTGAGGCAGCTGTAGTAGGTTTACAGATCTATGGACCAAGACAGAGCTAAGTGTTTTCACACAAGAGGCTTACTGGTGGAGTAGGGATTTTCCAGGCAATTGCTGGTGGAACTAAAGAGAGGTAATACATGCCTGAGCAGGGCAGAGGTCTACTACAAAGGCTGGTGGCAGGTACTGCCGTGGGCACAGCTGAGAGAGAAACTGAGAGTTTTTCTGGTTGGAAGCTATCCCAATTAACGAAACTGTACTGTCTGTACTGAGTTGTATTCTGTTACTTCCCAAACAAACCACATAATTATGAGTACTGTCTTTGAGTTCTGTGGGGCCATTGCAAAAGATTATCAAAATCAGCAGAGAAGTAGAGAGTGCCTTGGGGAGGACAGCTGGTGTCAGAACTGGCCAGGGTGGGGTGGGGTGGCCGGAGAGGAGTTGGAGAGTAGAGGTGTGTCTGACTTCTGCTTCAGAGGAATCAGCTTTGGGCTGATGGTGATTCTCATTCTCTGTCTTTGGGAATTTAGAAGAGGTCTGACACCATTAGATTATAACATGTGAAGATCAGCTATAAATAAAAGAATGTCAAGTGGTGCTAAAAGACACCAGAAACTAGGAGAGAGGCTCACATAAGGAATTGATAATACAACCAAGACCCTGATTTGGACTTTTATCCTCCAGACTGTGAGACAATAAATTTCTTCTTTAAAGCCACCCACTTGTGATATTTGTGTAACAACAGCAAAAGGAAACTCAATTATCATTTTCTTGCCTTACCACTTCCCTCATGTTCCAGAGTCTCTAAATGAATGGACTGAGCCTAATTTATTCAAAAGCTTTTCCAAAACACCTAAAATTATGCTTTCAACATAGTAATCGCCCAGCCAATATACACAGAATTTAATTTTAATGGACTTGAACACAAGATACATAAAAAAGTAGATACAGTCAGAAAACAGAGCAAGATGACAGTCTGCACTAATTGAGATGGTTGTTGTTGTTGCTGTTGTTGTTATGGGCTGTCAAGTCGGACCCAACTCATAGCGACCCCTCCTTGGGTTTCTGAGGCAGTATCACTATGGAAGTAGATTGCCCAACCTTCCTTCCGAGGAGTGGCTGGTGGGTTTGAACTGCCAGCCTTCTGGTTAGCGGTCAAGTGCCTTAGGCACTACTCTACCAGAGCTCCTAATTGAGACGGTAGGTTATTATAAATACTTTTCAGCCACATTGCCTTACCTTTAACTTTGCTATCCACTTCATCCCCTGGAAGGACTAGCTTCTTTTTCCCAAAATTAAGTCCCACTGACTTCAAGGATGCTCTCGATGATTTTTCCCTCCTTTTGTGGACAAACAGCAAGGAGGAAGAGAGGGAATCAGATGCCAGTGAGACCATGTAATCTGCCAATGGGTCAATGATGCTTCCAGTTAGCCAATTAAATGAGCTTCTTCCATCTGCAAATATGTATGTCAGAATGTATTAGAACACTGTCTCACAATTCCTCACATACACACACTTGTAAGCAATAGGGCAGTGTGGCTGGAATACACTGAGGGAGTGAGACCCTGCTCAGGCAGTCAAGCTGCTGGGGATAAGAATCCCCACATTCTCAGCTCCCAGGTGTTCACCTGCAGCAGGGACTAGGGTTAACAGAAGTGTAGGTGAGGCTGTAAGACAGGGAGGAAAGGTGGTGTCTGTATAAGTAAGAAGCCAGGTACAGAGGCCTCTACAAGGGTGCTGGGGTCATTGATGCTTTCTACTTACCACAGGGTACTACTGTCCCTTTTGGTACTATTGTCGTTTTGGTACTAAACTCCCAGAATTTCTAATATCAGTTTCATAAAATTTTCACTGTAATTATCTAAATTAGTGCTATATTCAGAACCAATGGAACTGAAAAAAATTTGTTTTAGCTGTACTTTTTTTAAGTGATTTAATTTGTTGTTGAAAATATACACAGAACATATACCAATTCAACAATTTCTACATGTACAATTCAGTGACATTGATTATATTCTTCAAGTTGTACAACCAATCTCACCCTCTTTTTCTGAGTTGTACCTCCCCCATAAACAGAACTCACTGCCCCCAAGCTTCCTATCTAATCTTTTGAGTTGCTGTTGTCAGTGTGATCCCATATAGACAGCAAAATGCTCAAGGCAGAAATTCTTTACTAATTAAACTATTGTTTAAAAGAATAAAAGTCTTCTTATAAGACTTCAGGGAATGTTTCTGGTTTTAAAGAAAATCTGAGGGCAATAGTTTCACTATCTTCAGAAAGTCTGGATTCCATGAGAATCTGAAATTCTGTTCTGGACTTTCTCAGTTTTGATCAGGACTTTTCTACAGAATCTTTGATTACAACATTCAGTAATGATAGTCAGGCAACATCCAGCTCTGTTCACATGGCAAAGGAGGTAGCTGTTTATGGAGGCAATTAGGTACACATTTCATTTCTTATTCCTTATTCCTGACCCTCCGTCCTCTGTTGTTTCGAGCGAATAGAGACTGACTGTTGCACATGGATGCAAGCTTTTATGACCCCATGCATTATGCAATGAACTAGGAGGTAGAACAAAAGCACTAAACACGGTATTAAGCCAATTAACTGGAACGTCCCATGAAACCATGACTCAAGGTCAACTTCTAACCCAATAAACCACATCCCATGAGGTGTCTGGCTATATAAACTATTTTAAATTTGATGCACTCCACAGATTTTTCTGGACAAGAAAACAAAACATATATGTACGAAGTGTCTACTGGTTTCTCTAATCAGAAGCAATCCATTTCCTCCTTTAACTGACTTATCTTTCTCATGGTTCTTAACACTTTTTGCCATGATCATCTTCTTTCTGTTACAAAATATTCATGTTCTTGTAAGCAGAGGTTGCCTCTACAAATTAGAGTACCTTGTACTTATTTATTTCATTTACTTGATTAGCAGGTGTTCAGGTGGATGCTTACCTGTGTTTTGGGTAGGTGTGAAGTCCCAGTGCTGCTGGGTAGTCCTTACTTGTCTAGAATTTAGTCTCTCAGCCATGAGGGAGCCATCTTGAGTTCGGGTCTGGAGAGCACTTTGAGAGATCTGAGTCTCAATAAACATTGGAGTAAGAACAGTACTTCGGAAACGCCAGTCAGAATCAATAGTGTATTCCTGCATGCAAGAAAGTTTCCAATGAACTCCTCCTTTTAGCACCAGTGAAATGTCTTTATTTAAAATCCAATAGTACAATCAGAGGGAGCTCTGGTAACATAGTACCTAAGGCACCTGACTGCTAACCAGAAAGCTGGCGGTTCAAACCCACCAGCCACTCCTCAGAAGGAAGATGGGGCAATCTACTTTCATAGTGATACTGCCTCGGAAACCCAAGGAGGGGTCGCTATGAGTTGGGCCCGACTCGACGGCACACAACTACAACAACAACAGTACAATCAGAAAATACATATCAAAATTTATATTTCTCTGTGGAAAGCAGCTCAAGAAAAACTTATTCAAATATAAAACTTTGAATTAAATAACTACCAATTAGAAAAATAACTACAATTAGGGGGGAAAAAATCCAACTGTCTCAGTGGTTTTTCTACTTCTTAACATTCTGCATTTATAACAACAACAACAACAAAACTCAAACCCTTTGTCCTAGAGTCAATTCCGATTTTCAGTGACCATAAATGACAGAATACAACTGCCTCATAGGGTTTCCAGGGCTGTAAATCTTTACAGAAGCAGACTGTCTCACCTTTCTCCTGCAGAGCAGCTGGTGGTTTTGAACCACTGACTTTAACCATTGAACCACCAGAACTCCTCTCAAACACTTTATGCAATATTCAATAATGGCATCACAAATGCCAACAGTTGAATGACTCAAATATTTCCTCTACACTCACAATATGCCAGGCACAAGGACAGATACCAAGAATACAAAAAACATAGCAATTGTCTAGCTGAGAGAGCAGGACCAGGCACGAGCCAAGCATTTTGTTAACATGCAGATCCTGACAATCTTGCATGGCTGCCAAGGGGAAGGGCAAACCAGGTACCTCCACCAGTGGGTGAGAGGTGCAATGTGGAGAGGCGAATCATGGAGAAAGCAGCAAGTTTGAGAAGGCAAACTTTACCCGAGGTTGAGAGGATGAGCACAGTATACCTCGTGGAGAGTGGTAGATTCAGGGGGTGAGCATATGCAGATGCCCCCAAAAGGAACTGGAGAGCATTCCAAGAGTAGTGAGTGAGTTTGAACACTACTAGAAAATGTTTATTCACTAACCAACAGACAGCGCCTGTAATACTCATCACTATTATTATAGAGAGAAGCAACTCACCTGAAATTTACATTCTGATAGAGGATGCTCAAATATAGGGTTTGGATAATCTGGGCTCAGGCTGGTCATTTCAAGTAGAAAATCTGTTGCTAAACCTAGAAAGTGTGTTTCTATTTTAGGAGAATATAATGAATTTAATGCCAATAATCGGTCCAAAGTATGTGATGGTAACCTAGTTTCATGACTCCAGAAATTTCGAATAATTAATCTGTAAAGCAGAGAGAAAAAAAGCCTGTGTTGAGATATCAGTAAATGAGCAAGAATGTACTACACATGGTGGCATGTGAGGAAGGCACAGTTTTCTATCTAGATTAAGCTTAACATACAGGGAAGTCATATTCAAAATTGTATCAAGAGCATGACCTGAATTATGCGAAATAACATACACCGAAGTAAGAGAATATTATAAAATTTAGCTTATTTAAGAAGAGGTAAGAAAATAGATGATTTTTTTTCTCACCCATGGGTGAGATTATTCTAATCCCTATTACCTGGGAAGTTTTCAGTGATGAGTACATAATATTTATTATTTACTTAAACTGAGAAAACATCACTACCTAATACAATTCACTCCAAAAATTACTGTCATGAAATACTCAAAACTTAAATTAGTTAAAAAGCAGATTAGGTTTTATAATTTAAGAACATGAAAAAGATCCAAATGTTTTAATTTGAAAAAGATCAATGAATTTAAAATTGGAACAGAATGGAAAAATTAAATGATAGTCAGAATTACACAAAAAGTTAATTTACATGAAAGTTAGTTAGATAATTGGCACTTGAAGAGAAACATATAAAAGACTAAGGGTTTTAGAGCATAGCAATCATCATTCATACAACCACGTGAAATCAACATCATAGCCTCATCCTATTTCTGAGGATTCTAAACTTTCATTTGATGTTAATATGCATACTAAAACTCTGACTGCCACTGAGTCAATTCTGGGCTCATAGCAACCACCATTGGGTTTCTGAGGCTATAAATCTTTACGGAAGTAGACTGCCCCATCTTTGTTCTACAGAGTGGCTGGTGGATTTGAACCACTGACCTTCTGGTTAGCAGCCAAATGCCTTACCCACTATGCCCCCAGAGCTCCTTGTTAATATGTATTAAAAAAAAAAAAAAAAAAAACCCGACCAAACTCACTGCCATTGAGTCGATTGCGACTCACAGCAACTACCTTTGGGTTTCTGAGGTGGTAAGTCTTTATGGAAGTAGATTGCCCAGTCTTCCTTCTGTGAAGTGACTGGTGGGTTTGAACCACCAACTTTCTGGTTAGCAGTCGAATGTGTTAGGCACTATGCCACCAGAGCTCCTGTTAATATGTATACCAAACAAACAAACAAAAAAAACACATTGCTGTTGAGTCGGATCCAACTCATAGTAACCCCTTCTTGGGTTTCCAAAGCAGTATTACTATGGAAGCAGATTGCCCAACCTTCCTTCCAAGGAGTGGCTGATGGATATGAACCACCAGCCTTCTGGTTAGCAGACTTTAGCCTCAGGCACTGAGATAAATAAAGAAACATACTAATCATTATTATAGATTTCCCTTTTGTTTTAAAACACACTGACTGACTGCTCTAGCACTGAGCATTTTACTCATCTCACTTTATGAGTTTTATATCAAAGTAACTTGTCAGGATTTTCCAAGTCTTCTCTTAATAATATGATTAAAAATACACTTTTAGTAAACATTAAAAAGCAGGAGGCATGAAAATGCTAATTCTACAAATACACTTCTAAAACTACTAAAATGTACTCCATGTTAGTCTAGAAAGAAATGATTCTAAAACTTAATTGTCCTGGTCCAATTATTCCAGAAGAAGCACATACTGAAGTCCAAGATTCTCATCAATCAATCCTTGAATCAATACATCTTTTGCCAGCTTAAATATTTCCTGGGAGTCAACATCTGTTTGACTTTCTGGATCTCTGTTTAAAAAAAATAACAAAATAATAAAATATTTAAAATCTCATCTATTGCTTTTGCTAAATTCCAATAATACTGTCTAGAATTAAAGAAAAGAAATTTAACCTTTCCCATGAGACTTCACCTTCCAAAATTAAAGGACAGCCACCCCTATGTATGGCCTCAGGCCTGACACCCTCCTCCATGTCCCACAGCCCATCAGAGTCTTCACTACGACTCACCAAGCAATGACAGACTCTCACAGACAAGGGGGTAAGAAGGTGAAGGGTAGCAGAAACAGAGATGAGGGGCTCTCTGGAAACACTAAGAGGTTCTAATAAAGGTCTAGGTCCCCAGGGAGGTGGTATGATGTGCTCCTGAAGTATGAAAATCACTCTGGCAGAGTTTATTTCTTTTACCTTGTCAGAACTTACAGGATAATCATGAAAACATATTTTATAAGGCACTCACATTTTAAACTCAACTAATAATTTCATTTGCTGAATATTTCCCCTACATGTGTATAAACTGTGATTTAAAATAAGGATACATTTCAATATACTAAAATAGATTATATTATTTAATATATTAATAATAGGGCTGTTGTTAGTTACCATCAAGTCAAGCCCCCAACTCATGGTGATCCCATGCACAAAGGAACAAAACATAGCAATTGTGGTTTGGACCACTGTATTTTTATAGGATTTTCACTGGCTAATTTTCAGTAGATCACCAGGCCTTTCTTCTTAGTCTGGATGTTCTGCTGGAACATGTTCAGCATCATACAACACATAGACCTCCACTGAGACACGTGGTAGCTAAGCATGAGGTGCACTGGCTGGGAAAACACTGAGGTCTCCCACATGGAAGGGGAGAATTCTACTACTGAACCACCACAGCCCAATACTATGGTATAAACCATTTGATATCTGTATTCTTATTAACGTATTATAGACTGCTAATGGCACCTAACCCAAACTAAAACCACTGCCACTGGGTCAATTCAGACTCACAACAACCCCCAATGAGTTTCCAACCTAGTAAATCTTCAGGGAAGTAAATTGCCCCATCTTCCTTCTGAGGAGCAGCTAGTGGGTTTGAACTGCCAATTTTCTGGTTAACAGTTAAATTCCTCAGGCACTGTGCCACTAGAGTGCCTTAAAAGCACGTAAGTGACCCCTAAAAATAAAATGTTATGGATTGAATTGTGTCCCTCCAAAATGTGTTGAAAATCCTAACCTTATGCCTGTGGTTATAATCCCATTTAATATTTAAAATGGTTTGGTTTTGTTATGTTAATGAGGCAGGATTACTGAAGGTTGTGTCTTGAGTCAAACTCTTTTGAGATATAAAAGAAATTAAAACCAGTAAGCAAGAGAAACAGAGACAGGGAAAGACTGATGACAAGCCACATGGAGATCTCCAAGGAACCAGGAAATAAGCTTAAGACACAAGGACACCCCCTAAAAAGCCGAGAGAGAAAGCCTTCCACCAGAACTAGCACCCTGAATTTTAGCCTCCTAAGCCATAAGAAAATAAATTTGTTTGTAAAAACCATCTACTTGTGGTATCTCTGTATTAGGGGCACTAGATAACGAAGATATAACAATGACAGCTTACCTATAATTGTCATGAATCCACATAAGAATATTATACATTTGTTCCCTACATATCGGAGATGGATGGGAAATGAATTCTACAATAGAATTCATAAGTTCTCGAAGTTCTAGTGGTTTCAATTTTGCCATCATCTTATAAATTATATCCAAACACACTTTTTGTCTTTTATCATCTCTATAAAAAAGAGAGATTTTGAAAAACATGCAAATTTAACAATTTTACTTTTGTACTTTCAAGGTAATATAGGTAACTTTTTCTTTTCTGTGCTGTTCTGTGTCAGAATTTGTTGTGAGAGATATATTTATACAATTTAAAATCACAGAATTACTCTTTAAAATAATTATCATATGCTAGATTATTAAAAATAAACAACTTAATCCAATGTGGTATTCCAAACTGGATCCTGTAAAAGAAAAACATGTTAGTGGGAAAACTGATAAAATCCAAATAAAGTCTACAGTGTAATGTACTAATGCTAATTTTTTACTTTTGACAAGCATGCTATGCTTGTACAAAAAGGTACAACTGAGTGAAGGATATGTGAAGACCCCGTACTATCTTCCAATTTTTCTGTAAATCTAAAGTAATTCCAAAATAAAAAGCAAATTTAAAGAAAAAAAAATCCCTGATAATATCAAACAAAATAATCAAACTACAAAGGATTACATGATTTTAAAACTGATGCCAAATGCTGTTTAGGATATGTAATGTGCCATGTGATGGGGGTCAGTGAAGTTTGGATCCTAAATGTTGCATAACTGATGTCCTTGTACTGTGCGTCTTTCACTCGGTAAAGAACCCGGTACACTGCCTCACACACAGTGGAAACGGAATAAATACTTAATGAAGAATATTAGAACATAATCACATACATTATCTGTTGTTGCCAAAGTACAAATTTATCAGTAATTTGTCAAGTAAAAAATATGTATATAGATTAAGACTGGAAAAGAATACAGAGAAATAAAAATGTTAAGTAATTAGCAGTTTTATTCTTTAAAACTTATTTTAGTGCTTGTTATATATTCAACTGAGTACCCCAAAAAATATATTGGCCTCAAACCCTTATACCTGTAAATATGACCCTATTTGGAAATAGGAGTTTTCTTAGGTGATGTCAATGAAATACTGCCAGCGTGGGATAGGTGAAAGCAGCAGACTGCCAACAGCTACAAAAGCTGACCCTCTGAATTCGACTACTACCCTCCATAATTGTGAGACAATAAATTCCTGTCCTTTAAAGCAACCCACTCGTATTTGTTATGGCAAAACCAGGAAACTAAGACAGAATTTGGTACTAGAGAAAGAGAATGCTGCTCTAACAAATACCTAAAAATGTGGGTATGGTTTGGGAACTATGTAATGGATGAGAAAAAAACACAAACAAACAAACAAAAAAAAACCTCACTGCTGTTGGGTCCTTTCAGACTCATAGTGACTCTTCTTTGGGCTTCCAAGGTGGTTATCTCTACCAAAGTAGAGTGCCCAGTTTTCCTTCTGAGGAATGGCTGGTGGGTTTGAACCACCAGCCTCCTGGTTAGCAGTCAAATGCCTTAGGCACTACGCCACCAGAGCCATCAGGTAATGGACAGAAGCTGGAATTGTTCTGAGATGCTTGACAGTAAGAGCCTAGATTGCTTTGAAGAGAGTGTTGGTAGACATGGACATTGAGGGTGATTCTGATGAGGGTCAGAGAAAAAAAAAAAAAGAGGAATCCTGTAGAGAAAGCTTCTACCATTGTGGTGGTTAAGTTTGTGTGTCAATTTGGCTGGGCCTGGATGAGTGGCTGGGCAGCTGAATGTAGTTATTCCCCATGGTGAGACTGGTAATAAACTCCATGGTGGAATCTACTGGAGCAGCTGAGTAGCTGGTCTGGGTATGTGGTCTGCTTTCCTATATATAAGAAACAGCTTTGGGAATGGTCTCTAGCTTATGGCACGCTTGAACCCTACATGTAGCCGAGTCATTGTTCAGCAGCCTGCCATACTCTGCTGATCCTGGGACTTTCAATGGACTTGAATCAATGGCCTATCGTGTGCTTTGGTAATATCGGACTGTGTCTTGTTACTTATCTACCTTGGGTTCCTCAGCCTCAGCAGCTGAGTGAGAAAAGCCTCCAGCTTCAGTGGCCTGGGGGCAGGAGGCAGAGCTGAAGCACAAGGATGACAGGCTTTCACCCAGCCCCTAGTGCCTGACACTTTGAACGTGGACTTAAAGCCTCCAAATTGTAACAATAAACTCCTGTTTGTTAAAGCCACACAATTTGTGGTGTATTCCTGTAAGAATGGCACTAGGTAACCAAAACAACCGTTGTAAACAGAATGTTTCTAGAAATACATATGTTAAATGTGCTTCTAGTGAGGCTTTAAAAGGAAATGAGGAACTGGCTATTGGACAACAGAAGAAATGTCATAAAGTGGCAAAGAACTGAACATCTTCTTAAACATTTCTTTCCTCTTCAAAATCCATTAAGTCCAGATCTGCCAATTTCCCTACTTCATGATTTATTAATGACAGCACATAATCGAATTATGTTAAAATGTTTTGTGTAAAGCAGAACTTGTGAGTGATGAACTTGGATATCTGGCTGAGGTGATTTATAAGCAAAATCTTGAAAGGGCAGTGTGGTTTCCTTCCTGCTTATTGTAAAATGCAAGAAGAAAGAGATAGCTTGAAATGAGAAATGAACTGTACAAAACCAAGAACTTGAAGATTATGAAAATTCTGTTGTAAAAATTAAGAGTTGTCCCCGAAAAGGACAGGAAGGGTATGGCGACACAATCTATTGCTAAAGAGATGAGGCCAATGGCCGATGGACCTAATCAACCACCTCATGAGAAGCCCTGTCAACTTAGACTGAAAAAGACAGAGACAGGATGAAATGAAGGAGAGGTGTCTACCTCCTGGAATTCTACAAGCAAGAAACAGACCACTAGAGCAAGTGATCCCTGACTTATGACAGGGTTCCATTCTGATGACTCTGTAATTAAGTTGGTTCTGGCATAAATTGAGTAACTTTTTATTGACTTTCATTATCATTGCCTTTTATTATCAGTATCTTTATAAATCCAATCTTCATTTTTCTTTGGAAATTAAAAATATTATATATAAACATACAGATCTATTTTAATACAAACATACATACATTTTAAAAAATACACATATCATAAACATTTACTCCAATGATGAAGAATTGGATGATGCTGGCATTTTGTCAACTATGGTAAGAAAACTTGTGGAAGGTTTTAGATCATCTGGATTATCCCTGGGAATGAGGATGGACTTTCCTGTCAAAAATTTAGTGAGAGATATTTATATGCTCCTTTTCTTTTTTTCTTCATATATTTCATGGTAACATCTCAAATCTGCCTATTGACTTTAGAAAAGTGATTAGCATTTGGGTTATGTTTTCAAGTAACTCATTTAGTTAGAAAAAACTCCAGCTATTCATTTCACGGTAAATCTTTCTGACAACTTCTCTGCTTCCTCTTCCTCATTATTTCACTCTTCTTGAGCATTTCTTTCCTCTTCAAAATCTATTAAGTCCGCACCTGCCAATTTCCCTACTTCATGATTTATTAGTGACCACACATCAGCAATAACAGGTTCTAAATTCAGCGTTTTTGTCAAATGGACAATTTTTTCCACCAATCTCTTCTGTCTTATTACCCTGATCAAATGATTAGAGCATGTTCACATGACTCAGCAATTTTTGTCATATCCTCTGCATTAATTTTCTCATATTTTCATCAATCACTGCTATCAACTCACTGCCACTGAGTCAGTTCCAACTTTTAGCGACCCCCAATGGGTTTCAGGAAGATATAATAATGATAAGATGTATTTAAAAAAAAAAAAAAAAAAAAAACCACACAGTCCTCAGTATGGTTGTTATTAAGTCAAGGGACTAACTGTACTGGGTTGAGAGCATCTACTGCCCTTCAGGAAAAGGAAGGGAGCATCCCAGGATCAGTTCAGAGACTAGTAGGCCTGTCAGAAGGAGGTGGGGGGTGGTGCTGAGGCAGAGGTAGTTTCCTCTGTGTCAAGGAACCACCTAGGTTTCAAGGGGTGTAGTCACCATCTTGGTTCCAGAGAATGCCATTCCAGTGGGCTGTAAGAACGGGACCACCAAAGCCAAGGGGGCAAGGTTGCCGTCCCAGAGCACCTAGAAATTAGGTTCCTAAAATGAGTCTGGAGGATGGGGCTGATGCCCAGATGATCCTTGAGAACAAAAGGGCTATTTTCAAGCCCTAAGATTTAATGACATTTGCCCTGCTGGGTTTTGTACTTCCTTGGTGTCCGTTATGGACTGAATTGTGTTCCCAAAAAATATGTGTTTAAATTCTAGCCCTTAGAATTGTGAATCTAATCCCAGCTGGTGTAAAGTCTTTTTTTTTATACTGTTAATGAGGCACTATCAGAGTAGAGTGTATCTTAAGCCAATCACCTCAAAGATATAAAACAAGCAGATTAAGAAAGCAGGAAATGGGAAAGAAAAATGTCAAGCCACATGAAGATCACCCAGGAGCAGAAGTTGAGAAGAGACAAAGACTTTCCTCCAAAGTCGACAGAAGACAGGAAGCCTTCCCCTATAGCTGGCACCCTTAATTTGGATTTCTACCCTAAAGAGTGAGAAAATAAATTTAAAACCATCTACTTGTGGTTTTTCTTTTATAGCAACACTAGATAATGAAGAGGGTATCTGTAACCCCTTCTTTCCCTTTTAGAATAGGAATGTTTATTCTGCTTATACCACCACTACACTATACTTGGGAAAAAGGTTTGGATATGCTTATACCACCACTATATATGGGAGCTCTGGTAGCATAGTGCCTAAGGCACTTGACTGCTAATCAGAAGGCTGGCGGTTCAAATCCACCAGCAACTCCTCTGAAGGAAGATTGGGAAATCTACTTCCATAGTGATACTGCCTCGGAAACCCAAGGAGGGGGTCGTTATGAGTCAGGGCCAACTTGATGGCACATAACAACAACAACAACAAAAGACTTCACAAGTCCAAAGATGGAGAGGCATTTTGCTCCAGGATGGAAAACACCCAGGGGCTCAGCCATACTTCATTTTGATAATCCAGAAGATAAACTTTGGGACTTGAGTAGATATTGGAATGGTTTAAGACTTGTGCAGATGCTGAAATGGGGTGAATACATTTATCGTCTGAAAAGGACATGAATGTTAGGAGGCAGAAGGATAGGGTTTTAGGGACTGAATTGTGTCCCCCAGAAACATATGTTGAAATTCTAACTCCTATACCTGTGAATATGACCTTGTTTGAAAATAGGGCTTTTCTTTTATTATATTAATGGATTTACTCATACTGGAGTAAGGTGGGTCTTAAACCTAATCTCTTTTCAATGGTGTCTTATGAAAGGGCAACAGACATAGACAGACACACATACAAGGCGAGACACCATGTGAAGATGGAGGCAGATGCATCACAAGCCCAAGAATGTCAAGTCTTGCCAGCAGCTACCAGAAACTGAAAGAGACAAAGAAGAATCCTCCTCCTAACACTGACACTCTGAATACAACTTCTAGCCTCCATAACTGAAACAATAAACTCCTGTTCTTTAGAGTCACCCTTTGTGTGTGTGTATGGTGTTTCTTCTTAGGGCAGCACTAGATAACTATGCTCTATTGCAGTTTTGCAAAGAAATAATGGAAGAGTCTTACCTGCAAGATAGGAACATAAGTCACACTCATATTTTCAATATATAGTAACCTGAGACACTCCCTCAGAATCACTCCTTTGTTTACAGATGTGATACAGGAGGACTAGAAACTTGGCCTCCTCAATGTACCAGGTCAGAAGAGGAGGAAGAACCAGGTCCATTTTAGGCACACATTCAGCCTTTATGATTTCTTTACTTTCTTTCTCATATTCAAACCTACTAAATATGAACTTTATGAAAAATCAGTTTCTTTATGAGCTGAAGGAGATACCTGCGCAAATTAAAATTTTGCAACTAAGCTGAATCAAGGAATGTGGTAGCCAGCCCCCCACTCACCTGTGTCTCATGACTTGGTTGAAATCTTTGCTCTTTAGCTTCAAGTAGAGATCTTCTATTTTCTCTGCACGACAAAGCACTACCTCTAGGCACAGAGTCTTCATCACACCGTGGAATTTAGGCAGCAGGAAGAACACCACATTCATAAACCTAACAAATGAATAAGATTTGTGAAGCAGGACAGCCCAGACATTCTCTGGCCACAGAGTGGGAATAATAACTGGCACCCTACCTATCAGCCAGAGGAGGGTAGTGCTGTGCAGCTTTGCTCAAGCACACAATGAACTTGTCCTCCATTGTATTTTGATGCTGCTTCAACTGTTTCACAACCAGTTCAGAAACCAACTCCTCCAGTACCTGAAAAATTGAGTCTCTTGTCAAATACACAAAGTGATAACTTAAGAACGGAAAAGAAAGTTTACTTTGGATATTTAAGTGAGCCTGAGGAAGATGTCAGTGTTCTCACTGCATAATACTATCAGGTGAGTCATGAGTTCATCATTGTTGAAACCACCAGCTAGTGCACATTGATCACAGGTCAATACCAGAGGCCAGGACCGTGGAAGTTTGTAATTGAGTGCCAGTCTCGTCTGCATGTGACCAAAGTGGGATCAGTGAAGATCAGTGCTTTCTCTGACACTGTGTCAATAAGTCATTTGATGTGTGAAACTATTGGTGATGATTAATACTATATTTAAGAAAAAACATTTTATGATGCCTGTATTCAGGTCTCTGGCCAAATGTTCATAAACATCAGAATGTCCAAGCAGGTCTCTCTGAATGCCCTCTAACTGTGGTCCTGTATCCTTCTTTATTTCTCTCATCCCATGTCATATTCAACATTATATTCATTTGTAGGTAGTCTGTCTGCCTCATCAAAATGCTGGCTCCCTCAGGGTGGGGACTTATATTGACTGGTTCCCTGCTATGTTTCCACAAGAAAGTCCTCAATGTATGTAGGTATTCAGTAGATACTACTGGAATGAAGTAATAGAAAATGCTCATTTCTTTCAGTAAGGTTTATATTCTTCCTTACAAAAAACAGGAAGATGTTCGTAAACAACTTTTTCTTTCAAAAGACACTAAGGTTAGATGAATATTTTTTCAACACAAACTTACAGTATGAGGCTATTTTAAAACTATGCTCAAAGGAAATCCTTAACAGTAAGCTACAAAGATCAATTACTAAACCCCATGTGGAATATTTTCATTAAATATTAGACTATTGATTCATAAAATATAAATCTTTTAATTAAAAGTATTAATCTGATGAAATAATCTAGTAAGCAAAAAAAGTTATAAAACAAATGTTATTTTTCACTAAAGTACATTTTTTAAAAAAAAATTTTTATTGTGATTTGAGTGAAAGTTTACAGAGCAAATTCATTTTCCATACAGCAGCTCACATACACTTTGTCTCATGACATTGACTACAATTTCCCACAATGAAACAGCTTCCCTCCCACTTCCTCCCCACAGTTACCTCCTCCCTGTTTTCTTCCCTCCCATGCACTCCTGCTCTATGAGCTGTCTCTCTGTGCATACACAGCCCTTCTATTCTCCCATGATTGATCTCTCCAAGACCTGTATCTATCTAATGTAAATGTTCAGTTCATATGTCTGTCTTTTGTTTGGCTGGAAGCCACAGGAGTGGGTTCAATTTCAGATCTGAATGGCAGCTAAGGGCCATAGTCTCAGTGGTTCTGTTCCATCAGGCTCTATCAGACCAGCAAACTTGCCCTTCCCCCTTTTTTTTTAAATGATTCTGAGTTTTGTTCCACATTGTTCTCCCACTCTATCTAGGATCTCCTACAGAGATCCTCCTGAGTGGTTGACAGTGGTAGCCAGGCACCATCTAGTTCTGGTCTCAGTCATATAGGCTGAGGATCACATGGTGTACCAGTCACTTGGACTAATTGTTTCCATGACTCTTTCATTTCCTTCATTCTTCTTTGCTCTGGATGAGGAGAGAGTCATAGTTGCATCTAGATCGCTGCTTGCAAGCTTTTAAGATCCCAGTTGCTACTTGCCAAAGTAGGAGGTAGAACAATGTTTTGTGCAGTATGTTATGCCAGTTGAGCTTGATGTCTCTGTAACTATGGTCCTGAGCCACAGGTACAATTACTTGCTCCCTCTGGGTAGCTGGCTGTGGCCAAGAAGTCACCACAACCATGTCCCTTGTCAGCTTTACTATACACCTGGAAATTCTTACAGAACATACAAATACACTGGTAGAAACACTGTCTGCCAACCCTACACATGGTCTTGGGCACACTCCCCCCTGCATGGACAGATCTAATAGTTCAGTCTGTCCACCCACCTATTCACCCATAGATCAATGATTGCCTTCACTGACAATGCAGTACAGTATGTGCAAAAGGGTTGATCTTTGTTCTCTGTACCTCCCATGTACGTCTCCTATGTCTTGCTCTTCCTCAATGCCACGTGTTGATCACTCACATTTGGTACACTGCCCTTCTCTTCACCCAAATCAATACTTGTTTCTACCTATTTAATAGTGTTCCCTCCCCTCCCCTTTCGCCCATGGTAACCAACAAAGAAAATTTCCTTCCATATAGAAACCTTTCCTTGACTTTTTACAAAAATGAACAAATGGAATATTTGTCCTTCTGTGATTGACTTATTTCACGCAGCATAATATCCTCCAAGTTCATCCACATTAAGCAGTATTTTGCAGATTCTACATTATTCTTTAGGTTGGATAGTATTCCATTGTGTGTATGTACCATAGTTTGGTTATTCATTCTTCAACTGATGGGTACCTGGGTTGTTTGCATCTCTTTGCTATTGTAAATAGTGCTGTGATGAACATGGGTATGCATATATCTGTTCTTGTCCTGCCTATAACTTCTTTTGGATATATACCTAGTAATGGAGTGGCTGGGTCAAATGGTATTTCTAATTCCAACTTTTTAAGGAATTTCCATACTGCTTTCCACAGTGTTGGTATCATTTGACAGTCCCACCAGCAGTATATGGGAGTCCCAATCCACATCCTCACCAGCATTTGTTATTTTCTGTTTTGTTGAACTTTGCCACAGTGCTAGGGCAAGATGGTATCTCAGTGTTGTTTTGATTTGCATCTCTGGAATGGCTAATGATCGCAAGCATTTCTTCATATGTTTGTTGGCTGCCTGAATATCCTCTTTGATGAAGTGGCTATTCATGGATTCTGCCCATTTTTAATTGGATTAATTGTGTTTTTGTTGTTAAGATGTTAGAGTTTTTTATAAATTCTAGAGATAAGTCCCTTGTTAGATATGCCATCGCTGAAATTTTTTTTCCCAATCTGTAGGTTCTCCTTTGACTTTCTGGGAGAAGTCTTTGGAAGCACATAAAAATTTAATTTTCAGAAGGCCCCACTCAGCTAGTTTATCTTCTGCTGTTTGTGCATTTTAGGTTATGCTTGATAGTCTATTTATGCCATATATTAGGGTCTCTAAATTTGCCCCTAGTTTTTCCTTGAGGAACTTGATAGTTTTAGGTTTCACATGTAAGTTTTACACTAAAGTACTTTTAATATTGAGAAAAAAAATTATGTTTAAAAAAATGCTTATCATTCCTATTAAGTTGAAATTTAAGTCATGGGATATTAACTCTGGAAATCAGCTGTAACTTGCTCTGTCCATGGTAAAAAAAGTAAGCATATTACATAAATTGGAACCTAATGATAATACAATTAATTTGTAATAAGATTATTCTGAATTCTTAAAATGTTTGTTTTACAAAAATAGCTAGTAATCTCTAAAGCAAATTTTAAATTAAGTTTGATCTTCCTACTGGGTTATATTTCTTTTTAAGGTAGTTTAATTTTTGCTGGTTGTTGTTGTTGTTGTTAGGTGCCACAGAATCAGATCTGACTCATAGTGACTCTAGGTACAACAGAACAAAACATTGCCTGGTCCTGTACCACCCTCACAATCCTTGCTATGCCTGAGCCCATCAGTGCTGCCACTGTGCCAATCCATCTTGGTGAGGGCCTTCCCCTTCATTGCTGACCCTCCACCTTACCAAGCGTGATATCCTTATCCAGGGAATGGTCCCTTCTGACAACATGACCAAAGTAGGTGTTTTGGTTACTTAGTGTCACTCTGACAGGAATATACCATAAATGGGTGGGCTTGAACAAACATGAGTTGGGAAGCTAGAAGTCTGAGTTCAAAGTGCCAGGTTCTCGGGGCTGGATTGAAGCCCCTTGACCTTGGGTTTCACATCTGCCTCTTGCTCCCAGTCCACTGAAGCTGCAGGCTTTCTTCACTCAGGCAGCTGCTAACTGCTGAGGCTGAAAAACTCAAGATAGAATAGTAAAAAGGCACAGTCCCATGATACCAAACTATATGGCAGTCCATTGATTCAAGTCCATTGAAAGTCTCATGATTGGCAGAGCATGGCAGGCTGCTGAGCAACGACGGATACATGGAGGGATCAAGTGTGCCATAAGCTACAGACCAGTCCCAAAGCTGCTTCTCATATATTGGAAGCAGCCCACATCCCTAAACCAGCTACTCAGCAGCTTGTAGTAGATCCCACCATAGAGTTGACTGCTGCCAGTCTCATCATGCAGAATAACTACCACCAGCTGCCCAGCCACTCAACCAGGCCCAGCCAAGTTGACACACAACCTTAACTACCACAGTAGGTGAGACGAAGTATGGCCATTATTGCTGCCAAGGATCATACTGGCTGCACTTCGTCCAGAACAGATTTATTAGTTCTTTTGGCAGTCAATGGTACTTTCAGTGTTCTTCACCAACACCACAACTCAAAAGCATCAACTCTTCTTCAGTCTTCCTTATTGTCCAGCTGTCACATGCATGTGAGGTGACTGAAAATACCATGGCTTGGGTTAGGCACACCTTGGTCTTCAAGGAGACATCTTTGCTCTTCAGAACTTCAAAGAGGTCTTTTGCAGAAGATTTGCCCAGTGCCATACATCATCTGATGTCTTGACTGCTGCTTCTATTGGTGTCAATTGGAACCAAGTAATATGAAACCTTTAACAACTTCAATCTTTTTCCATTTATTGTGAGGCTGATTATTGGTCTATTATCTTGTCATTTCTTCCGTTTGCTTTAGCTAATCTCTCCATTCAATGACAAGTTTCGGAGTCTCTTCTGACATCCATTTTGGTCTTCTCTTCCTTTCCTTTTTTTCTTAAATGACTTTTTGCTTTCCTCATGGATGATGTTCTTGATATCCCACAACTCCTCTGTTTTTTGGTCACTGGTGTTCAATGCATCAAATCTACTCTTTAGATGGTCTCTAAATTCAGGAGGGATACAATCAAGGTCATATTTTGGATCCCACAAACTTGTTTAATTGTCTTCAGCTTCAACTTAAACTTACATATGAGCAGTTAATAGTTCTTTCCACAGTCAGCTCCTGGCCATGTTTTGGCTGAAGATACTGAGCTTCTCTATCACGTTTTTCCACAGAGGTAGTCGATCTGATTCCTGTGTACTTCATCTGGTGAAGTCTACATGTATAGCTACCATCTGCGTTGTTGAATAAAGGTATTTGCAATGAATAAGTTGTTAGTCTTATAAAATTCTATCATGCAGTCTCCAGTGTTATTTCTGTCACCAAGGCCAAATTTTCCAACTACTAGTAATTCTTCTTTGTTTCCAACTCTTGTATTCCAGTCACCAGTGATAATTAACACATCTGATTGTATGTTTGGTCAATTTCTGACTGTAGAAGTTGAGAAAAATCTTCAGTTTCTCCATCTTTGGCTTTGGTGGTTGGTGCATAAATCTGAATAATATTAGTATTAACTGGTCTTTCTTGGAGGCATATAGATATTTTCCTATCACTGACAACACTGTATTTCAGGATGGATCTTGAAACATTCTTTGTGAAGATGAATGCCATGCCATTCCTCTTCAATTTCTCATTTCTGGTATAGTCTGATTCAAAATGGCCAAAATCAGTCCATTTCAGTTCACTACAATAAGGAAGACTGAAGAAGAGTTGATGCTTTTGAGTTGTGGTGTTGGTGAAGAACACTGAAAGTACCATTGACTGCCAAAAGAACTAATAAATCTGTTCTGGACGAAGTGCAGCCAGTATGATCCTTGGCAGCAATAATGGCCATACTTCGTCTCACCTACTGTGGTAGTTAAGGTTGTGTGTCAACTTGGCTGGGCCTGGTTGAGTGGCTGGGCAGCTGGTGGTAGTGCCTATGATATTAATCTTTATGCACTCTATTTCATTTTTGACAACTTCCAATTTTCCTAGATTCATACTTTGTACATTCCATGTTCCAATTATTAATGCATGTTTGCAGCTGTTTCTCCCCATTTTCAGTTGTGCCACATCAGCAAATGGAGGTCCCAAAAGCTTTACTCCATCCACATCATTAAGTTCAGCTCTACTCTGAGGAGGCAGCTCTTCTCCAGTTGTACTTTGAGTGCCTTCTGACCTGAAGGGCTTATCTTTCAGCACTATATTGGACAATGTTTCAGAGCTATTCATAAAGTTTTCCAGTAACATATCAAACAGTGTTTCACTGTTATTCATAAGGTTCACTGGCCCATTCTTTTAGAAGTGGATGGCCCCTTCCTTCTTCTGAGTCTGTCTTAGTCTGGAACCTCCAGTGAAACCTGTCCACCATGGGTGACCCTGCTGATATGTGAAATACCAGAAGGTTAAGCCTCCAGGCTCACAGCCACACACAAGCTACCACAGTACAATGAACTGAGAGATGAATAGTGGTTAACTTTTAATACAAGCAAATTTGTAGATGGTTGAGTTGGACAGGGGCTCAGCTCATTATTTTGTGTTGGGCACTGTGTGTGCTTGCCTAAGACCATCTGACTTCTCCTGAGACTCTTATCCACTGAACGGACAGCAAACTGCACCAGGTCAGCTCCAAGCAGCCGGTCTTCTTCCCATCTTTTATTTTAGGAGGAGAGCTGGCCTGGAGACACACCTTTGGGGATCATGACCATATAGGTAGTTCACAAAGTGAGAGGCCAAATGAGGTCAGCAGGGCAGCACTGAAGAGTAAAGGATCGACACCATAGCTGCAGAATGGCTGATAAAAAACTAGCAAAGGAGGGTGAGATGAAACCCCAGTAAAGTACGAAGAATGCCAAAAGGGTATTCTAGAAGGCAAAGTGTCAAAGAGAAGCAAGAAGGAAGATGACTGTGTCGTGCTTAAGAGACAGTACTCACATTAGTGACCTCAGCTTGGGCAAAGAGTCAGGCTGGTCTGGAGGCTCATAATGTAACCCTGATTCCACCAACACATGAGAACACAGTGTGTGGCTGAGTGAACCCTGTACTGTTACACTATCTTCAGTTACGTTACAATGCAGCAGACCATGCAGTTAAACACACAATTTTAACAGCTATATTTTACTGAGGATTATAATATTCTGTACTGCAGTTCAATTTTCCATTACATTCTTCTTATAATCCTGGAAAGCAGGCAGTGCACAAAAGACTTAGAAAGGTTCCCTGACAAAGGCCCTTTTGTGTTTAACAGCTCTGTTTTGCCAAAAATTAGAAAAACAAGATTTTACTAGGATAACTTAGTTCTGACCATAGCAGATATCCACCAGGATAATTTTCTCCAAAATAAATCCTGAGATCAAGTTCAGATACTGGAAAGGTGGTTCAATGTTCTTTTCTTGACTTTCATAATATAGGTAAATTACCAAGTTTAAAAAACTGAGCACTTTATAAAGTTTAACAGTGAAATGATGAATAAATGAAGAATTCCCACTGTGATTTCTTAGACTACAGAGGGAAGATATTTAAGATTCAAATGTCAATATTCACACTAAATTTCTCAAGGGACATCATGCTCAATTGGTACAACATGAAAATCTTGTCCTATAACCTACTTTGGTGAGTATAGACTGGGGTCTCAAAAGCTTTCAAACAGCCATCTATGATGCAGCTATTGGTCTACTCTCATATAAATCAAAGAAGAGTGAAGAAAGTCAAAAGCAGCTTGGAAAATTTAGTGCTAGGATAAGATGGACCACGAGAACCTCGGCCTTCATGATCCCAAGACAAGAAGATCTAGATGGTACCTGGCTACCAATGCGAACCAATGGAAAGGGATCAAAAATGGAGATCCTGGATAAAGTGGGAGGAAAAATGTGGAATAAAATTCAAAAACACAAAAATGACCAGAATTTCTGGTCAGATAGAGACTGGTGGAAACCCCAAGCCTATGGTCCTGAGTTACCCTTCAGGCCTAGAAAAGGACTCATTCCCACGGATCAGCTCTCAGCTCAATAGCAGAAAGACCTACATGCAAAACACATACCCCAGGGCAATGCACCCACCTACTCCAGGGAGATGTACCCTTTAGATTAATCAGCCATGAGACACCAGAGGGGTAGCATTTACATAGAGGGAAAGCTAGACATACAGAAATGCATAGCTAAGAAAGGCACAGGGAGGGGGTAGTCAGAGGGAAGGGAGAGGAGGAGAGTTTTTTATGGTTGGGGATGGTAATCTGGGTGGGAAATCAAATGTGCATGAACTGATGAATGTAAAACAGGTTTACTTAGTAAATTTGCACCCAAAGCACAAAAAATTTAAAAAAAAAAATTCACACTAACTCAAAATTTAATGAAAGTATTTCTTTAAAAATTGCCTAACACACTCACATTTTCTTTCTCAGCAACATATTGAAGAATAAGTCCCAGAAGTTCTGCTGCTGCTGCATATACCTCTTTATGTTTTACAAATGACATATTATTAACCAAAGCTTCAAAGTACCTACAATAAATATAGAAAGAAAAAAAAATGCCTATTATAAACCATTTTACTGCATGACATAAACAATAGTACCTTTTCTCCTCATGTCATATTCGTAGCACAGATTGAGAAAATATGAAACATAAAACATGACCTAAATTATTTGTAGGAGTATATCTATGAATAAGTATTTAAGAGCTCTTATATCAGGCAGAGCCCAGGTGTCTACTGTTCAGTTCTACAGGGGTACAAACAAGCTGCAGCCAAAGTTAACAAGATGCTGGAGACCCTAAAACATGCCAAAAAAAATTCTTTACACAAGATTACAATTTATTGAGCCTATCTATGGTCTACAGGAGAACAAATGAAATAATGGCAAAGAACAGAACATAGTGCTCATGTGGGACAGTTACTATATGCAGGGAATCAGCTATACTGACACATTTAACACTGAACCCTCACATGACTCAGTGATGTGGTTACTGACAAGGAAACTAAAGAGCAAAAAAGTTAAGCAACTCATTCAAAAAGTAAAATATTTCCAGCAGAATCTGTGTTGAGCCACTAGTTGTCTAAGTGCCAAGTTAACATAATTATCAATTACTCCAAGCAACTACCAAGACTGCCAGACGTCTAGAACATGATGGGTCACCATGTACAGCAGTTGTTATGTGTTCTTGCACATAGTACTTCCATATGGATTATCATGTGTGGCTCTAAATGAGTTAACCTCTTCAAAAGAGAAAGGGAAAGGCTTAAAGAGATATATATTGTTACTACGTAAACAGTGACTTCAAAAAAACGTAACATAGCAGGAAAAGTACTTGCTTGTGATGTGATGAACTTATCCAGGCAATGCTCATCTCCACCTCTTAAAAACTATAACTCTCAGGACAGGAAACAAGAATGACTGAGAAAGGCTCACCATGGAGCCAAGGGCAGGGAGGGGCACCTGAGATGGGGTTGGTACAGAGCAGGAGCAGCAGGATAGAGTAGCAGAAGACTGAGTGTCCTTCTGTGGCAAATTATAATGAATAGGCTTACTGAACTGATGGTACTCTCAGTGGTAAACACTGAAAATATCAGTTTAACTTCCTCCTTTACTCTAGGCATACTCCTCTTCCAAATAATTTCTAAACCTAACTTTCTAAATTTAGGAAGAAATATTTTAACATGGGTTCTGGCCCATAAATTTAACAAATGTTAAACCATACTCTATCTGATTTAGATATATTTTAACCTAAAAAAGAACCAAATCAAAAAATATACTTACGTTATATCCTCTATGCCACATTTTGGGTCAAAAGGAGACAAGCTATTGGCCATAACAATTCCTAATAACTGAATTCCTACAGAATTGTCTTTAGAGTTAGGATCTTTACTGGAAAATTTTTCAAATATTAACCTGAAACATTAGTACAAAAGAAAAATACAGTTTGTCATACAGTAAAATGAGAAACAAGAAAAGAAGATATCTATAAATTTTCTAAGACAAAATTTGAGGGTCTTTTTGGCTAAGTTTCCCTTGTTCATCCATGTTGTTTCCATTTTATAATATAGGTAGTTTTATATTTTTTATATTCTAATAATTAGAATTTAATTCTAATCTCCCTTAGCTGATAGTAAAACATTTGGAAAGTGTTAGCTTGTCTCAGGCTATGCAAACAGCAATCAAAGTAGTCTTCAGACCCACCATCACAGGGATCCAGCATGGCATACTCAATGTAGGAGAACTCAGGGGAGCTGATGGCAGAACAATGGCTACTGTTCCGCCCAGTCAAGCTAGTAGCGTCAGACTTTGGAGGTTGTGGTTATATTAGCAGCCTTATTATACCCTATAAATGGATTCTATTTCAAATTATGTGCATATCTATATTTCATATAATTAACTTTCACTATGATCACTACTTACAATGCTCCATTTTAACCTAAATTTCTGGACAATGTTGTATAAACTAGTAAATGTATACCTGTAAGGGACGGATAAGCAGTCTTTCCAGCATTCAACAAGAGTTTTTATAATTTCAAGGTTGTGTCTAAAGATGGCTCTTTTTTGATGAAAGACATGTTTCATTAGGAAATGAAGTAATCGATTTGCTAACACCTCATCTCTAGGGACTCCCTGAGAAGGTACAGAAATTAATTAATATGCAGCATGTACAGAAATGCATTAATATGCAGCATTCCATTCTGGAACAGCATTTTTAAATCCATAAATCCATTTATAAAAGAAATTAGATATTCTACATCACCTTTTTTTTGATGGTTCCTAAGTTAATCTACTCTCAATTTTTTTATGTTATGAAGCACACTACAAATGATTTTTATCACATTAGAACAGAGAAATCAAAATTTGGTTCACTGTGAATAAATGTGATAAACACACTCAGATACAAACATGCAGAAAAGCTATCTGTGCATATATTATGTTCTAGGGATTGTTTCCAGTGACGTTTGACTAACATCTTTGGTATATTGTCATATCTAATGATTTTAAACAAATGGGCAATGCTCCTGGACTGTTCATGCTGCTGGACGCCATGTGCTCACTCCATACCACACAGGCTGCTCATTAGGCAGCCTATTTTTCAGCCATCTCCACCCTCACTGGTCTTGGCCAATGCTCCAGCAGGAAATAGGCTGGCAAAACAGATTCCAAATACCCAGAGACTCCAATCAAAGCAGAAGTTCTCACAACATTCAGGGTCTGTTATTGCTGTGGTTGTTAGTGGCCATTTATTCAGCATCTGACACATGGCAAGCTTACCCACATCAGAACAAAAAGACTACCCAGACCTGCATGATCCCCATTAACTGAGTAAAAATCAGACTGTTATGATGTATAGGGTTTTTGCTGGCTTATTTTTCAAAAGTAGAACACTAAGCCTTTCTTCCTACTCTGTCTCAGCCTGGAATGTCTGCTGAAACCTGTTCGGCACCATAGAAGCTATGGGAATCTATTTTACACATCATTTAATAAGGTGAGAAGAATTATAAAAAGCAGACAAAACAAAACTAAAGCAGTATGAACCGTAAGTACAGGAGCACCAAAGGGATGTAACAACTAAAGTTAAAGATGCTGAGTCTGAGTCACATACTCTGTTAGGATATCAGCAAAGGAAACAAGAAAAATAAAAATTATCTAAAAGTAAAGCTTACACTTAACTGAAAATTAATTTCATTTTCCTGCAATGTCAGATATAAAAAACATTATTTGCTAAAAATATAATTATTCTCTGATACCAAAAGCATCAAATTGAAATCAAATTCTTTTATAAGCTTTATTTGGATGTTAACTATAAAGATAACACTACTCAGTTTTAAAATGTTTATAAAACACAAATAGAACTGTAGTGGAAAAAGCAATGGTAGAGAAAATAATCTATGACGAAACATAAGAGATATATCAATTCTTACTAGCGGAGTAGCAATGCCTGTCCATGACAAAACAGTGACCACAATCTCAACCACCATATAGTGAATTCCTTCTCCACCATTATTCTCAGAAACAACCAACTGTAGTAAGGGGCTCAGCCAGTGCTTTGCATAAGGGCGAAAGACCTAGAAGTGAATTTGAAAGTCAAATATCAAAGATTAGTCTTGAATATCAAAATATGAATTAAGGAATATATCCTCCATCAACTTAATTTTTACATAATGACTTGACCAAGATATAAGACAAAAAAAGATTGTGACAATTACCCCAGTTAATAATATTAGATTCTTAATTGAATTCTTTCTTCATGGGCCCCTGAAATCACAATTCAATGGAAATGGATTTATTCTTGATCTTTTCTTAGATATTAGATGGTTTCTGAATTATCCATTTAAAAGTTTTCTATAATAATACAATAATGTTCATAGAGATCTACATCAACCTTCTGCATCCTATCTCAGTAATACAAAGCTCTAGTTCTGTACTGTTATTTTATGGAAAAGTACAAAGCATAAGAAAATGAACACATAAAAATGAAGGAGGGCACATGTGGCTAATGTTTTTTAATTTCTTTCTATGTTGTTGTTGTTGTTGTTATGTGCCGTCGAGTCGGCCCAACTCATAGCGACCCCTCCTTGGGTTTCCGAGGCAGTATCACTACAGAAGTAGGATTGCCCAACCTTCCTTCCGAGGAGTGGCCGGTGGGTTTGAAACGCCAGCCTTCTGGTTAGCAGTTAAGTGCTTTAGCCACTATGCTACCAGAGCTCCTTTTCTTTCTATATATAGAAGTAATTTTGTTATAGACTTTCTATACCTGAGATCTCTGAAATCTAAATAAAATGCATATATAGACTAAATTCCATTTATTTCTTGGGTTTTTAGAAATTGCAAGAAAATGTCATTTTGAGGCAAAGGAACAAATTAAAGTACAATTCAAGCTATCTATCTTCTTAATTTTGCCTTGCTTCTTTTCCCAAATATAATTTTTCAGGACTTATTCATTTATTCTCACAGCTTGAATCTCTTTGATTTTAAATCTTTTTTGATTTTGTACTCCATCAGGAAAAAAAATACTGTATACTCTCCATATACCATCTTTTTTTAAAATTTCTCTAGAACCACACTTGGTTCCAAATATCTGTATGTGTGTGTGTGTGTGTGTGATTTGGAGGAATATTTACAGAGTAAATTTACTTTCCATACAGCAGTTCACATACACTTTGTCTCATGACATTGACTACAATTTACCACAATACAACAGCTCCCCTTCCACTTCCTCCTGATAGTTACCTCTTCCCTGTGTCCATCCCTCCATTCACTCCTGCCCCCTGACCTGTCTCCCTGTGCATAAAAAGCCCTTCTTTCTCCCAGGATTGTTCCCTACAAGGAGTGCATCTACCTGCTGGAAGCCACAGGTATGGGTTAAATTCCAGACCTGAAGGGCAGCTAGGGGCCATAGTCTCAGTGGTTCCATCAGGCTCTATCAGACTACCAAACCTGGTCCCCCCTCCACCATTTTTTTTATCCAAATGATTTTGAGTTTTGTTGCACAGTGTTCTCCCTCTCTGTCTAGAATCTCCTACACAGATCCCCCGCCAAGTGGTTGACAGTGGTAGCCAGACACCATCTAGTTCTGGTCTCATAGTCACATAGGCTGCAGACTGCATGGTGTACCAGTCACTAGGAATAATTGTTTCCATGAATTTTTGGTTTTCTTCATTCTTTTTACTCTGGACGAGGAGAGACCCATCGCTCCATGTACATGGCTGCTTGCAAGCCTGTAAGATCCCAGTCACTATTCACCACAGTAGGAGGTAGAACAATGTTTTGTGTAGTATGTGATGCCAATTGAGCTCAATGTCCCCTGCGACTACGATCCCAAGCTCACAGGTTCAACTACTAGGTCCCTCTGGGTAGCTCGCTGTAACCAAGAAGTGATTACAACCTTGCCCCTTGTCAGCTCTACTATACACCTGGGAATTCATATCATGCAAATATACTTATAGGACCACTGTCTGCCAGGCCTATATACAGTCTTGGGTACACTTCCTGCTTCACAGACATACCTACTAGTTCAGCCTGTCCACCCATCTATCCACCCGTATACCTATGTTTGCCTTCACTGACAACGCAGTACTGTATGTGCAAAAGGGTTCATCTTTGTTGTCTGTACCTCCCATGTACCTCTCTACGTCTTCCTCTTCCTCAATGCCACCAAGCTGATCATTCACATTTGGTACACTGCCCTTCTCTTCACCCAAATCCATACTTATCTCCACCTCTGTGTTCCTTACCTACACTCTCATCCCTGGTAATCAGCAAAGACAATTTCATTCCATAGATAAACCTTCCTTGACTTTTACAATAGTGGACCAATACAATATTTGTCCTTTTGTGATTGACTTATTTAGCTCAGCATAATTTCCTCCAACTTCATCAACGTTATGTGGTGTTTTGCAGATTTTAGGTAATTCTTTAGGGTTGCGTATTATTCCATTCTGGGTATGTACCATAGTTTGGTTATCCATTCCTCAGTTGATGGACACCTAGGTTGTTTCCATCTTTTGGCTATTTGTAAATACTGCTGCAATGAACATGGGTATGCACGTGTCTGTTCTTGTCATGGCTCTCACTTCTTTAGGATATATACCTAGTAATGGAACAGCTGGGTCAAATGGTTATTTCTAATTCCAACTTTTTAAGGAATCACCACTGCTTTCCATAGTAGTGTACCATTTTACAATCTCACCAGCAGTGTTTGAGAGTCCCAACCTCTCTACATCCTCACCAGAATTTGTTATTTTCTGTCTTGTTGAACTTTGCTACTAGTGCTGGAGCAAGATGGTATCTCGTTGTTTTGATTTGCATCTCTCTAAAAGCTAATGAGGAGCTCTGGTAGCATAGTGCCTAAGGCACTTGACTGCTAACCAGAAGGCTGGCAGTTCAAACCCACCAGTCACTCCTCGGAAGGAAGATGGGGGCAATCTACTTCCATAGTGATACTGCCTCGGCAACTCAAGGAGGGGTCGCTATGAGTCGGGTCGGACTCGACAGCATATAACAATAATAGCTAATGATCGTGAGGATTTCTTCATGTTTGTTGGCCACTTGAATATCCTCCTTCGTGAAGTGTCTATTCATGTCTTCTACACATTTTTTAATTGGATTGTTTGTCTTTTTCTTATTTAGGTGTTGGACTTTTCTATAAATTCTAGAGATAAGTCCCTTGTCAGATTTGTAATTGCCAAATATTTTTTCCCAATCTGTAGGTTCTCTTCTGACTCTTTCAGAGAAGTCTTTGGAAGCACATAAAAATTTGATTTTTAGAAGGTCCCAATCATCTAGTTTCTCTTCTGCTGTCTGTGCATTTTGGGTTATGCCTGATAGTCTATTTATGCCATATATTAGGGCCCCAATATTTGCCCCTAGTTTTTCCTTGAGGAACTCTATAGTTTTAGTTTCACATTTAAGTCTTTGATCCATCTGGAGTTAGATTTAGTGTATGGTGTGAGGTACAGATCTTGTTTCAATTTTCTGCAAATGGATCTCCAGTTTTACCAGCACAATTTATTAAACAAACCTTCTCTTCTCCATTTAATGGATTTTGGTTCTCTGTCAAACATCTGATGACCATAGGTCCATGGATCTATTTCTGGGTTCTCAATTCTATTCCAATGACCTATGTATCTGTCATTAAACCAAAACCAGGCAGTTTTGACTACTGTGGCTCTATAGTAAGTTTTGAGATCTCGCAGTTTAAGACCTCCTACTTTGTTGTTGTTCTTCAATAGTGCTTTGATTATCCGAGGTCTATTTCCTTTCCATATAAAGTTAGTGATTGGTTTTTCCATATTCTTAAAGAATGTTGATGAGACCTGGATTGGGATTGCATTGAATGTATAGATTGCTTTGGGTAGAACTGACATTTTTACAATGTTCAATCTTCCTATCCACGAGTATGGGATATTCTTCCATTGATGTAGCTCTCTTATGGTTTTTTGAAGTAATTTTTTTTATAGTTTTCTTTGTGTCCCTGGTAAGATTTATTCCTAAATATTTTAATTTTTTTGGTAGCTATTGTAAATGGTATTGATTTCCTTATTTCTTTTGAAGCAATCTCTTTGCTGGTGTTGTTGTTGTTGTTGTTGTTGTTGTTTGCCGTCGAGTCGGCCCCGACTCATAGCGACCCCTCCTTGGGTTTCCGAGGCAGTATCGCTACGGAAGTAGGATTGCCCAAAAGGAATCCAAATAATACTGGGATGTTGATCTTATAGCCTGACACGATGCCAAATCTCTCAATTAGTTCAAGTAGATTATTGAGTAAGTGTCTTGGGTTTTCTAGGCACAGGATCATATCATCAGCAAATAGGGAGAGTTTGATTTCTTCCTTACCAACTAGGATGCCTTTGATTTCCCTTTCTTGACTAATGGCTCTGGCTAGGACTTCCAGTACAATGTTGAATAGAAGTGGTCATAGTGAGCATCCTTGTCTGCTTCCTGTTCTCAGGAGGAATGGTTTCAGTCTCTCTCCATTGAGAATAATGTTGATTGTTGGTTTTGCATAGATGCCCTTTTTTATGTTGAGGAATGTCCCTTCTACTCCTATTTTGCTGAGAGCTTTGATCACGAATACCCATTTCTGATTGCATTTTTGCATTAACTGATATGATCATGTGGTTCTTCCTCTTTATTTATGTGGTGGATGACATAGATTGTTTTTCTGATGTTGAACCATCCCTGCATACATGGTATGAACCCTACTTAGTCATAATGAATGATTTTCTTGATATGTTGTTGGAGTCTATTGGCTAGGATATTGTTGAAGATTTTTGCATCTATGTTCATGAGGGCTATTTGTCTGTAGTTTTCCTTTTGAGTGATGTCTTTGCTTGGTTTTGGTATCAAGGTTATGCTTGCTTCATAAAATGAGTTAGGGAGGATTCCATCCTTTTCTATGTTTTGGAATAGTCTGAGTAGGATTGGTATCAGTTTTTCTCTGAGTATGTGGTAGAATTCTCCAGTGAAGCCATCTGGGCCAGGACTTTTTTTAGTTGGTAATTTTTTGATGACCTGTTCAATTTCTTCTTTTGTTATGGACCTGTTCAATTTTTCCACATCAGTCTGTGTTAGTTTAGGTAACTGGTGTGTTTCTAGAAATCTGTCCATTTCTTCCAGATTTTCAAATTTGTTGGAGTACAGTTCTTCATAGTATCCTGATACTATGCTTTGATTTCAGTTGGTTCTGTTGTGATGTCACCCATTTCGTTTTTTATTCATGTTATGTGTATTCTCTCTCTCTTTTCCTTTGTTAAATTTGCCAGTGGTTTGTCAATTTTACTGATCTTTAAAAAAAAAAACCAACTTCTGGTCTTGTTCATTTTTTCTATTACCCTTCTATTTTCTGTTTCATTGATTTCTGCTTGAATCTTGATTATTTCCTTTCTTCTGGTGACGGTACACTTCTCTTGCTGTTCTTTTTGTAACTGTTGGAATGTTTGTTCAAAGTGCTGATTTTGGCTCTTTCTTCTTTTTTGATGTGTGCAGTTATTGCTATAAATTGACCTCTGATCCCTGCTTTTGCTGTGTCCCAAAGATTTTGGTATGTTGTGTTTTCATTGTCATTTGATTCCAGGCATTTTTGAACTTCAATTTTTATTTCTTCTCTTACCCAGTCTTTCTCAAGGAGGGTGTTGTTCCGTTTTCATGTGTTAACTCTTTTTCTGTTGATCTTCCTGTTGTTGATTTCTAACTTGATAGCATTATAATCTAAAAAGATACTGTGCAGTATTTCAATGTTTTTAAATTAATGAAGGCTTGCTTTATGGCCTAACAAATGGTCTATCATGGAGAATGTTCCATGTGCACTGGAAAAGAATGTATATTGTGCTGTTGTTTGGTGAAGTGCTCTGTAGAAGTCTATAATGCCAATTTGGTGGATTGTATTGTTTAGCTCTTCTGTAAATTTGTTGAGTTTCTTTCCAGTTGTTCTATCTTTCAATGAAAGTGGTGTATTAATGTCTCCCACTATGACTGTAGAGTCCTCTATTTGGCTTTTCATCTCTTTTAAACTCTGATTTTATTTTGGGGCTCTTTCACTGTGTCCACAGATATTCATTATGGTTATATCTTCTAGCCCAATTATCCTGTAATCATTACATAATGCCCTTGTTTCGTATGGTGGTTTTTGTCTTTTGACAAAGTCAATTTGATCAGAAATTAATATTGCCATACTTGCTCTCTTACAGTTGCCATTTGCTTGATATATCTTTTTCTAACCTTTGCTTTTTAGTCTGTTTTTGTCTTTGTGTCTAAGGTGTGTCTCTTGTAGGCAGCATATTGATGGATTTTGTTTTCTTATTCTATCTGCAACTCTGTGCCTCTTGAGTGGTGCATTTAATCCATTAACATTCAGTGTAATTATTGACAAGTAAGAACTGGTTGCTGTCATTTTGTTATATGATATTCATAGTGTCCCTGGTTTCTTTGTTCCATATGATTTTCTGTGCTGAGCTCATTATGTTTATGAATCATGTTATCATTTGTTCTAATTTTTCATTTATTTTGTCATTTTATTCTTGTATTTTCTTCCAAAATTCTTCTAGGGATTTATCTGTGTTTTCCTTGGTATGTCTCTCAATCCTTTGAAGAAACCTAAATTTAATTCTTTTGAATTCTTTATCAGAGAGTTCCAATGCTGCTTCTTCCTCAGGGATGTGTTCTGGGTTTGTATCCTGTTCCCTTGTTTCCACCACTTTATATTGCTTCTTTGTGTGGACTGTGACGGTCTGTTATTTCTGAGACATCGTGGTGTTGTTGTATTTAGATCTCTGTTAACTGTTTGTGAAGAGCAGCCAAGGGTGAGTCAGGCTCTTCATGGTAGTTGTTTTTCATTGGCCTGTTGGTGGAGAAGGAAGTGGTGGCTCTCACTCAGTAAGTGAAGCTGCAGGACGTGTGGATGTAGTTGTGTTGTATGGAGACTGTTTCTGTCTTCCACTCCATTAGAGAAAAAGAACAATTGAATAAGCATCAAAAAAATAAAAGCACATGGACACATGGACAAAAAATATACCGTGTAATCACACAGACACAGTAACCAAAAAAAGAAGAAAAGGGAAAAAGAACAAGAAGGAAAAAAAAACAAACTGCAATATCCGGGAAGAGTGCAGTAAGAGAAAAAAGGTAGAGAAGGAGAATAATGAAAAAAAATTACAAAAATTCAAAACAAAAAACAAGAAATGGGGTTAACCATGATAGAAAGAAAAAAAAAAAAAGAAAATGCAACCAGGAAAAGGGAAAAGAAAAAAACAGACAACTAGAACCTGGGAGGGAAAGAATAAAGAATAATAGTAAAAAGGACAAAAGTAATAATAGTAGTAGTAGCTTTAAAACAGACAAAAAGAAGTAAACTAAATAAATTTAAAAAAATAAAAATTAGGGGAGGGCAGGTCAGGGCACCCAGGCTCCCTTTGAGCACACAGACTTGGTTGGAGTTCCTGCAGGCCCAGAAGGTGGGTGGGAATGAGGAGTGGCCATACCTCCATTCACCAAGAGGCTGTGGGGTATAAGAGTAATAAGGGGAATGTTGCACCTTTCCAGGAATTCAGGTCCAGATTGTCCTTGGGGTTACTGGCAAGTAGAGCCTGTTCTTAAGTCCCTGGAATCTGGGAGAACACTGTTGCTTTAAATATCCAAAACGGTCTAGTCTCTTGCAAGCATTCAAAATGGCTGCGCCCTCCGGACAGACAAAAGTCCACAGCTCAGCCCACTGTCCTCTTTGCTGCCTCTGATTTTACTCCCCAGCCACCAGAGCAATCCTTAGTGCAGTCCCTGGCTAGCAGGAATGATTTTTTGGTTAATTCTTAGGTCCTATCAGTACTCAGCAATATCCAAGCTGTCTGTGCCGTCAGGATTGCTGCCATACTATAGCTCTGTATGTCTCCTTTTTTGATATTTTCATGAAAATTCTTCTGCTAGTTGGAGTTTAGTCCATTTCTATATCCTTCCCTTCAAGGTTCAGGGGTCCAGGATTATCTTCTGTATATGTGTTAACTGGTTCCCCTTTTCTTTGTTGAAGAGGGTCTGTGCAGTCTTTCAGCTTATTCTGCCATCTTACTGGAAGAAGTTCCAAATCCATATACCATCTTTTTATAAATTATATATACAAACTCTTTATTACAACATTAAAATATAACAGATACATAAATTTAAAGATGACAATTATAAAAGTAAATTAAATAAAAGCTCTAATCTCTTCCTGCATGGCACATGGACTGTCCAAACCATCTCCTTTGAAATCGCTGTCTGATGGCCCCTAAGACATACACGTGCTCCCACAGAGCTCAGGCTTCCTGTTAACTCTGAAACATGCATACTTTATCAAGAAATCATTGAAAACACTAAGCAACTAGGACATTTGGAACATATCCCAGAAATCAAGCAAGAGAAAGGAATGCAGGCCCTAAAGTTGGTGGATCACACCTCGCTAACATCTCTTTTATTTACATTCTCCTCAGCTCAGTCTCTAATCTCTCACCCAGGTATAATGGCCTTGTTACATGACTCTCTGTCATCTCCAGACTCGTTCCAGTCTTCAGTGTTGCCTATAAGGACCATTCTATCAGGCAAATTTGACCTAAAACCCATGATATGTGCTCCCTACTACTTTGAAGACAATCTGTGCAATGGTCCTGATAGACCAGGACCTGTGGTGGGAAAAATGTGGCAGACTCTGCATGTCTCAGTCCTCATGGGGCTGCTCTGCTCAGACTGTGCCTCCACCTGAGATGGAACATCCCATCTACTTCACAATTAGCTCAGGGTTACTCTTGAAAACCAGCCCTACCCTCCGTCGGTGAAAAGCACTCTCCTACTTGATGTGTTCATCGATGTGGACAAATGGATAATTCAGGAAATACCTAAGACAGTCAGCTATTTTTCATAGAACATACACAGAGATACTTATTTTCACCAACATTTTTGCTATTATAAACAAAGAGCTGGCAGCCATAAGTTACCAACACATGCAGTTTATAAACATCATTTCTAATTTAGTAGAAGTTAATTTACTTATGGATCAAAAGAAAATGATAAGAGAAAGATGAGCAACAAGTAAATAAATATAGCTGGGTGATTTATTAATAGACCAAAAATTCTATACTCAATCCCTGCACATCTTCCTTCACTATTTTCTTTTTTTTCCATAGATGCACATAACCAGAAAAAAATTTCAAAGAAATACTAGATTACTCACTTCTTCTGCATTAATAACAAGTTTGGCTAAAAAGAGACGGATATTTAATGGCACTGATGGATTTGCCACTTTGTCATGAAGAAATTTCATCCAAGGAGGAAGACTGCTTGGCACTGAATCCTGAAATAAAATATTCAAAATTACTTTTAAAAAGTGGAATAAAATAGCTTCCTATTCAGGAAGGACCTCTGGAAGGAGCTCTGGTGGTGTAGTGGGTAAGGCACTTGGCTGTTAACCAGGAAGTGGGTGGTTCAAACCCACTAGTCTCTCTGTGGGAGAAAGACTAGGCAGTCTGCTTCTGTAAAGATTTACAGTCTTGGAAGCCTAATGGGGGTCAACTATGAGTTGGAATCGACTCGATGTCAGTGAGTTTGGTTTGTATTGTATTTTGAAATTATGAAACAGTAACAGCAAAAATTAAATGAGAGCAATGCAAAATTGTGTTTATTTGATATGGAATTTGGTTTAGTCTTCAATAGCAAAAGTTCATGTTAATAGGAAAGCATTAATGAAGACAAGATGATCTTGCAGGGAAAGTACCTCCTCTATCCTTCGGGTGACCTGGATTCTCTGCATATGCTTAATCACAGCTGTCAAAGGAGGCATACACTCATGCTGGTTGAGCTCATCCATCTCCAGCTCCATGAATTCATTTCGGCCCACAGGTTCCTGATGATCCTGCCACATAGGTGGAACACAAGGATGTGAAGTATGCTGTTTAGGATTCAATATACACGACATCAAGGCTTTTAAGAAATAGCATATAACGTAACAAATTACATAATGAAGATAATTTGGTAATAACATAAATTATACCTCATATATTTTCTTATTAAACAACTAAAAAATACCAGATACTTGTACGTTCCTTACAATTAGGTGTATGTTTTGCCCCCAAACCCTGTGTATTGACATTCTCTATAGTCACACCTGACTTGTCTACGCAGATAATGTCAGAGGTCACACCTGAACCATGTCTGCATGAAGAGAGAACCAGACAATAACACTTAGAAAAATTGGAAAGGAGGAATTCAGAAGGAATCCTGGGTTGGAATCAGATGCACCCCTGTGAACTCATGGTTTTATATATACATATAAATGTATAAATAGACAGATAAAAGAATAAATGCAGTGATAAATATGTCTTTATGTATGCGTGCACATGTGTGTATATACACGTACATATTCCTCATCTCTGTGCTCTAGATCTGGGAGCAGAATCCCATTACTCCCTCCCAAAGGAAAAGGGCTTCCTACAGAAATGGCCAATTCCAAGGCTGGGGCAGAGAGAGGAGGAGATTACCCTCAAACAAGGGCCCAAATATTGATAGAGACATGTCAAAAGGATACAGGAAAACAGTGCATCTAAGAAAAATCCACAGCTAACAACATGCTAAATGGAAACTGAGAGTGCTCCCTTGAAAATAAGGAAAATGACAAAGATGACCACTCTCACCACTGCTATTCAATATTGTTCTATAAGTCCTAGCCAGAAAAATTAGTCTAGGAGGAAAACAAAAACAAAAAGCGCATCCAAATCAGGAAGGAGGAAGTACAACTATCTCCTCCCACAGATGATATGATTCTATACAGAGCTCACTCCAAAGACTCCACCAGAAAGCTACTACAACCTTGATGAATCCTTTCATCAAAGAGGCAAGGTACAAGATCTACTCACAAAATTCAGTAGACATTCTATAACATGAACAATATGCAAGAGGAAGAGGAAATTAAGGAAATATTACCATTAACAATAGCATCTAAAAGAATAAAATACCTAGAAAGAAATTTAGCAAGGTGAAAGTAGTGTACATACACAGGAGTCCTATAAACATTGTTTTAAAAAATCGAAGAACACAACCTAGTTAAACTGACTCAAGAGGAAACTGAAATCTCAACAGTCCCATAACAAGTGAAGAGATTGAATGAATGATTAAAAACTTCTCAAGAATTAATGATTAAAAACTTCTCAACTATTTAGAGACAAATTTACATCAGTCCAGTTTAAACTCATTCAAAAGATAGAGAAGTAAGGAATAGGCCCTAAATCATTGCATGAAACAAACATAACCCCAATACTAAAATAAGTCAAACACACTTAAAAAAGAAAAGAAAACTTCAGGACAATATATTTCATGCATAAAAATACAAATCAGCAAAATACTAGAGAATGGAATCCAACAGCGTACAAAGAGTCATAAAAAATGACCAACTGAGATTTATTACAGAAATGCAGGGATGCCTCAACATTAGGAAATCAATCAATGTAATACATCACAAAAATATAACAAAGGAAAGCAAACATATGTTATCTCTAATGGATGCAGAAAAAGCATTTGAAAAAATCCAACACCCTTTGCTTCTGAAAACCCTAAAGGAGACTGCAATAGAAGAGAATTTTCTCAATATACTTCAGGGCATATATGAAAAGTCAACAGTCAATTGTTGTTATGTACTGTTGAATCGGCCCCAACTCATAGCGACCCCGCCCATGGGTTTCCAAGGAGGTATCACTACGGAAGTAGATTGCTCAACCTTCCTTTCAAGGAGTGACTGGTGGGTTTGAACCACCAGCCTTCTGGTTAGCAGTCAAGTGCCTTAGGCACTGTGCTACCAGAGCTCCCCAACAGTCAATACTATAGTTAATGGAGTAAGATAAAGAGTTTTTCCCTTGAAATAGGGAATAAGACAAGGATGCTCCCTCTCAGAACTTCTTTTCAATATTGTATTAGATGTCCTAACTAAAGACAAAAAAAAAAAAAAAGAAGAAATAAAAAGCAATCCAGATTGAAAAATAAGTAAAATTTCTCTATTCAGAGATGACAATATCCTATATATAAAAAATCCAAGAGTCCACCAGAAAGCTTCTATAGCTGAGAGAGAAATTTAGCATGGTTGCAGAGTATAAGATGAACATACACACAAAAAAAATCAGTTGGATTTTTACACAAGAGCAATGAGAAATTTTAAAGAGAAATTAGAGAAACAATTCTATTTTTATTAGCAGCTAAGAGAATAAAATAACCAGGAAAAAATTTTTACCCAGGATATGAAACTCTTATAAATGAAAATTATAAAAACTGCTGAATGCAGAAAAGGGATTTGATAAAACCCAACACCCACGCCTGATCAAACTCTCAGAAAAACAGGAATAGAAGGGACATTCCTCAATATGATGAAGGGCATCTATGAAAAACTAACAACCACCATTATTCTCAATGGAGAGAGACTGAAACCATTCGCCTTGCAAACAGGAACCAGACAGCGATGCCGTCTATCACAACTTCTATTCAACACTGTATTGAAGTCCTAGCCAGGGCAATAAGGCAAGAAAGGGAAATCAAAGGCATCCAACCCCTATTTGCTGATGATAGGATCCTATACCTTACTGAGTCCAAGAGACTCAGTAAAAAATCTACTGGAACTAATTGAGAGATTAAGCATGAGGCCAGGATATATGATCAACACCCAAAAATCAGCTGGATTCGGACCAGCAAAGAGATTGCTGAAAAAGAAATAAGGAAATCAATACCATTTACAATAGCTACCAAAAAAATAAAATGCTTGGGAATAAATCTTAACAGGGACACAAAAGACCTTTACAAGCAAAACCATAAAAGACTACTTCAAGAAATCATAAGAGATCTACACAAATGGAAGAATATACCATGCTCATGGATAGGAAGATTAAACATTGTGAAAATGTAAATTCTACCCAAAGCACTCTACGCATTCAGTGAAATCCTCATCCAGATCCTATCAACATTCTTCAAGGATGTGGAAAAACTAATCAATAACTTTATACGGAAAGGAAAAGAGACCTCAGAAAAACAAAGAACTAGTGAAGAAGAAGAACAAAGTAGGAGGTCTCACATTGCCAGATCTCAAAACCTACTATATAGCCACGGTAGTCAAAACTGCCTGGTACTGGTACAATGAGACATAGACCAAGGGAATATAATTGAGAACCCAGAAATAGATCTGTCGACCTATGGTCAGCTAATCTTTGACAAAGGGCCCAAGCCCATTAAGTAGGGAACAGAATGTCTGTTAGATAAATGTTGCGGTCAAAACTGGATATCTATTTGCAGAAAAATGAAACAAGATCTGTGCCTCACAGAATATATAAAAAGGAACTCCAGATGGATCAAACACTTACATGTAAAGTGGGAAACTACAAAGCTCCTCAAGGAAAAACTAGGGGTAAATTTAGAAGCACTAATGTACGGCATCCAGGGATACAGGTGAGGAGACACAACTCAGGGACACCCAAAGCAGCAGACCAGAAGAGCAGGAGAAAGGGGATTAAAAGCCAGGAACCCGGACAGAACACCAGTCAGCCCCAGGGATACAGGTGATGAGAGACAACTCAGGGATGCCCAAAGCAGCAGGCGGGAAGAGCAGGAGAAAGGGGATTAAAAGCCAGGAAGCCATAGAGAAGAGCAATCAGCTGAAGGGATTAGGTGAGGAGAGGAAACTCAGGCCCACCCAAAGCAGCAGGACAGGAAAGCAGGAGAAAGGGGACAAAAGCCAGGAACCCGGACAGAGGAGCAGTAAGCCCCAGGGATACAGGTGAGGAGAGACAACTCAGGGATGCCCAAAGCAGAAGGCCAGAAGAGCAGGAGAAAGGGGATTAAAAGCCAGGAAGCCAGACAGAAGAACAGTCAGCCACAGGGACCAAGGTGGGGGTGATACGAGAGGTCTCCAACAGCAAGACAAACTTGTCTGTCGGTTTGTCCTACTGTGGTGACATTTTGAGGCTGAGCCTCTGGTGTTTAAAACCCAGCGAAATGCACCTGGTACACAGGTAACAGCCCAGCTTATAGACTGAGACACACTAGGAAAAAGGAAGAGGCCGTCCACTTTTCAAAGAATTGGCCAGGGAAAACCTTATGAATAGCAAAGAAACACTGTTTGGTACATTACCGCATACCTTTAGGAATAGTCCGTTTAGGCTAAAAGGCTCTCAAAATAGGACTGGGAAAGAGCTG